CGTTAAGTGCTTTGTGGACTTCAGGAATGTGTTGGGGGCACACCTTGGTAAGACCTGTAATCGGGCAAAAGTGACCGCTCAATGTTCTGTTTTTAATTTAGAATCACCATTTTTTGGTTATATCATGACTGGCGTCACTTATCTTTTAACACAGCTCCTACGTGTTTCTAATGACGTTCGTAACATCACAGCCAATTCACACACCTCTGTCTGTTCTCTGTTCTCCTAAGCAAGTCATGAATCTGCCACATGAACATTCATGGAGTCACAAAACGATTTTGCTCATACTGTATGATTACATTTTCACTATGTTTCTGTGTTTAGCAAAACAGAAGCATTGTGGAATTTGGAAGATGCTGGTGCCAGAGAAATCTAGCAGGATTATGTAAAAGATTGAAGAGCATCAAATGTGGAAACAAATTAAAAAAAAATACTCTTTCACATGCTGGACCATGTGAATTCAGGACATTAAGGTTATGTAACTCGTAGCCTTCTGACAATTCTTGTCTCTATCTCTAGTTCTTGTTTTGGGTATTTTTTTTCTCTATTGAGATTTCTTTTAGCATATGTATCTGAGTCTCCCAGGTAAGCACTGTGAATCTAACTGAACGAATAAAAATATATTGAAAAAGTTCAAGTAAGGATCTATGTCAGCATGTGTAGACTGCAAATCTTACAATACTGAAAAGTGCATAACATTTAAATATTCCTTAGCAAAAATAATGCATTTCCTACATTACAACCCACAGGAGCTGTACACAAATCCAGAAATGGAAAGACCACTTTGCTACATTTTCGGTTTGTCTGTAACGTATGACTCTTTGCCTGTGATTGTCATGTTGCAACAGACACAGGCATCCATGTGCTACTGCAGATGGTCAGTCGAAGATGATGACTGTGCCAAACTAAAAATATCTTCCACCTAGCTGATCTAAAGAGCATTATTATGAATGGTGCATTAATGAAAGGGCCCCACCACCACCTATTCAGGATAAACTCTTTTCTCCATTTAACATGCATAAGAAATTAGCTTGTAATATGTGCTTCCTGGTACTGTAAATGAGTATGTAAATGTAGGTACAGTACACTGTCAAATCTATCTTCAAGTTCTTTGCAAAATAAAAAGAATCAATGCTTACTTGTGTTTTTTCTACTGTCCATCTAAAACAGCAGTCCATTAAAACAGGAACAATTTCATTTTAAATTCAATCACTGAGGTCATTTATTAAATTGAGACATTTAGATGTCATGGGGAACCCAAATGTAAGAACTCTTCATGGACCAGAGTTCTCTTAATTAAACAGTCACTTGTTTTAGTCAGTAGCAGGTGATATCAATCTTTAGAAAAAGGTGGCCTACAGGACTTAATAGATTTTAACACTCCAGGAATGTTTTATTTTTTTATCTAAAAATAAATGTGTGTGAAATTATAGGACATACTATGTCACTAGTTATTACAAATAGAAGTGGACTTTACAGTATATATGTAGTATCTGTTGACATGCAATCCAATTAGCCACTTATCCACAGACTCCAGCAAAAATACAGTACAAGCAAATGATAATTTCTTTATAATAAAATAACACCATCACTGGTCAGTGAAGGCGAAGCAAAGTCTCTTGGCTTCTTTCATTTTCTGTGAAAAATCTGGTGATTGAGAAATAAATATAAATAAGTCTAAAAAGACAGGTATGTATGCACATGGACTGATATTTACAGTACAGACAATTATATACTGTACCATTGGAGAAACTTCCAGAGCCTAAAGCACCACTGTGCATCCATCTTTTGAAAGCTAATACTCTTAGACATACCGTAGGCACAAATATTTATACTTATAAAAAGTAAGACTGTATCCGCAAAATACTGCGCAGGTAAGCACACAAGCTAAATGCTGAAGTGCTAAAGCGAGACATTTGCTCTCTGTATAAAAATGCATTTGAACAGAAGCAAAAATGATAAACTGTGCCTGGTAGATTTAAAAAGAGAAATTAAATATTTCCACAATTCGAAAAAAGTGCATCTCCTTTCCCTAAATTTAACCAAGTCTCTCCTGCGCACAAAGTGGTGATTTCCCAGTGAGAAAGTGGTAAAGATTGTCTGCAGCACTATGACACCTGTCCTTCTGGTTCACCTCTGCTTAAGTGCTATGCTATATTTGTCTTTAGTGATTTATCATTTAAAGTCCAATGGCTTTTGATTGGTTAGACCCGGGAAACTCCAGCCTCTAAGGTTATCATCTAGGGTCGCAGTTTGGTTGGGGCTGCTCTGATCAGATCACCCCCATCTGTGAAGGCACTGTCCGATATTATCCACCTCTGTCTTCACTTCCATACCATACCCAACCCGTAATAATGCCAATTATTACAGTATATCAGGACTGTCATCCCTGAATCCCTTCAGTGTCTCTTCTAATGCAGCCTGTTCAGAATTTGCCTGGAGATTCTATGATTCATCCCAGCACAGCAATAATTTCAATGTGATCCATTGTTTCATTTATTGTAATATGCTGATTTTTTATTACCCAATAGTTTTAGTGTTTAGTGCATATAAACATATTTGGAAAATTCAATTTGATAAATGACAAAATCAGGCATTTATATTCAAATACAGGCATATAAAGAAAAATATTATCATGTCATGAAATACTTTCATATACTATAGCACTGCACGAAACCGAAGTATCAGCTTCAACAGCATGGCTGGGTAGCTTGTTTCATACACCCACAACCTTTTGGGTAAAGATGTGCCCCCTGTTGTTGGTTTTAAACACCCTTCCACATAGTGTCCACTTGTGTCCTCTTGTGTTTTTTGGGTTCGTGTATCACTGTTCACTTTGAAGAAATCTGCTGAAGTGATGTTATCAATGCCTTTGAGGCTTGTGAGTACTGATAGTTTTCGATGCACTTCCACTCTGTTCAGAATTGGAAAAGTTCACTTCTTTGAGCCTGTCTTTGAAATTCCCTTAAGCCCCAGAATGTACAATGTCTGGCTGATCCTCCCTGGACAGATTCCATAACATCAATATCTTTTCTATAACATAAAAGTTTTTTTTTGTTGTCTTTACTGCATTGTCTGGCTGCAGTAGTAGGATTATACCTGTTATTGAATATTGGCTTGGTCTGAAATAACAGCCCTTCAAAAGTAAATACCCTAACTCGATTGCATACTTGTATGTTTGGTTATACCACATTGAAACCTGAATACAGTTTGAGAAAAACAGGTTATAGTTTTGAATGTAGCATCAACTATTTTGTGGTTATTGCCAAAGAGCACACACTGCATTTGTTTAGGAGATTTGGGAACAGAGTTAGGTAAGAAGGTACAGTATGTGAGATTGAGCGTGCTGGGGAGAAATGACAATCTCGCTGCCTAGCAATGTGATAAAGCTCCAAAACTACCATTTGATATTCATAAAAGGTAATTTTGTGCATGGTTGACTGCTGTGTACTGTTTATGACCTGCAGGGAGGGGGGGTTGAGTGTAGTTTACTTTTTAACCAGGGGAACAAAGTGTATTTGTAAAGTGCATTCATAACCTTCCCACAAAGGAGGTGATTATGGTCACAGTGTATTAAAAAAAACATCCATTCACTCCACATGTAGTCCACCAAAAAGCAATGACCTCATGTTCAAGTCATCTGGAGAAAAAGCAGGGGTGAGTGTCATAATTACTCTGTGACGTTACACCAGAGTACTGAAGTGGGTTTTAAGAGGGAATCTGAAGATGGCGACTGACTTGTGAGATCATTCCGCAGCCCTGGAGCAACAGCACAAGTACATGGTCTCCCAGTGGAGCCCGTGAAATAAAATTGTGAAATAAAAGAAATCCAGGAAGAACTCCCACAATGTGTTCAGAATGCATAAGGGTAGCCCTTCTCAGATTGCTGTTAATAGGCTGAATTAAAAAACCTGTAGATGACGAAATCAAACTTTTTATGTTTTCCAGCCAGCCCCTACACATTTTGGCTAGGATGCACCAAGGAGCCCCAGCAAGGAAATTAAAGAAGATTGTGGGTTCAGTCCCTTAAACAGATATTACTGCTCCAGTTCACCCAGCTGTAAAAATATGTATCTGTATTTGCTGGGTGGTGACTTCCAATGGTCAAGTATTTTGTACACATAGGGTCAGAATAATTTCTGGCACTATCAACAGAGTGGTGGTTCTGTGGCTAAGGCTCTGCCCCTGTGGCTGGAAGGTTGCCAGTTCGTATCCCAGGGCTGGCAGAGGAATCCTACTCTGTTGGGCCCCTGAGCAAGGCCCTTAACCCCAACTGCTCCAGGGATGCTGTACAATAGCTGACCCTGTGCTCTGACCCCAGGCTTCTTTCCCTGTCTTTCTCTCATGGAGAGCAAGCTGGGGTATGCGAAAAGGTGAATTTCTAATGCAAGAAATTGTATAGGGCTGATACAGTTGTGTTATAACTACAGGCTCACGGAGAACATAACCAAATCCCCCCTTTCCAACTTTTATCTGTTCACATTTTCTAGCTTTGCCACATCTCCTGTCCTTTTTAAATGACTATTTTTGATTAAATTTCATATTTTTCAGGTCTTGTGGTATACTAATATCTTCCCTTTATATTAGCCAATGTCATCTTAGACTTTGTATGACCTCAAAAAAAAAATAAAGAAAATTGTCCCTTGAAATGGAATACACCTTGTCTTCATGGGGGAGGCAATTAAAAATTAATCATTCACAGATTCAAAGAGCAAACTAAGCGACTGTAACAAGTTGCTGGGAATTTCTGTTTTGTTAGCTTTTGCCAAGATACCTGACTTACACGATTTTATGTATGACATTCTGTATAATGAGAAATAGTTTGGAAATAAGAACTCCCTGCTTAAACACATAACATTTTTTATACATCTCCTGAAGGTCAGGGTTAATTACACATTTCGAAATCTCAGTATCAGAAGGGTTTTAGCGGTCTTTTTTTGCTATCATTCCAAAATCAGAGTAATTATAGACATAAGCCGCCCGTCCTTAATCTTTTTCTGTTGCGCATCTTTGACAGTCCCTCGGTTTTGTACCGTGTTACGTCCGTTTCCGCTGAATCAGTTCTAAGTAAGACGCGACCATGAGACCACTGAGCTGAGCACGTACTGTATGATATAGATTCATCTGGAGCAGTGACCGGGGCAAAAAAAAAAAAAACCCGTAAAGCTGAGTCATAAATTATATTAACTTCATTTTTGAGTTTTCCTGAATAACACTGTGTTTTGTAGCCGAGATTAAGTGCGCGTCTGTTCATACTGTATGATAGCAGCCACGCTCTTAACACTTGGCTGAAGCAGGGCTTTTGTGTTAATCATTGGGTGTACTGTTATCGGGTGTGCATCGCTCTGAAACACCTTCGGACTCAATCGGAAATTGCTGTGCGAAACGATAGTTTTCTTTCACTGCCTTCTTTCCACGGTACTGGCGGTCAGATTGAGAAAAAACAGATCTACTGTATATCGGGAGCCCAGCTGTCAGTTAGGAAACAAAACAGGTGGCCACTGCAGACGCACACGCGTCAGGGCGAAAAGACCAACAGCTTGTTTCTTTTTTCGCTAATCTTCTGCTGACGGTAGCCTGTTTAACCCGAAGTGCAGAACAGCAGTAAGCTCTCACTTGGCCAGCCCGCACAGCATTTGTTTGTGAATAGTTTCTCGGTGCGCACTCTGCTGTCACCCTTCTGCTGTCTCCGGAGGAGCTGAAGTTCACATCTGCGGAGGTATGAGATGAGATGGTTTTGCGCTGTGCGTCTGCTTGGATTCCGAAACACCGGGACCTCTGGAAACTGTCGCCAACGTTAATTGTTCCCGGGATGTTATAGATCTTTCCAGCGGGCATGTTACCTGAAATAAACAATAAGGTGAGCAATAACTGTCTTCGCGTATCCTCGGTTGTTTGATCACTTCCCTAAAACTGAGACTCATTGTGTTTTGGCCGCCGAGTAGTTTAGATGTACAGTACTGCAGTCTGGCGATTTATGAATGAAGCTTGGACAGTATAATTAACTTTTAGATACGATTTTTGAATACAGAAGGATTTTGTGTCAAAGAAACGAGAGATCTGAATATTTCCCAGTAGTATTCACAACGTTTTCGACGTTATTACAGTTGTAAATAAATTACCGTTATTATTGCAATAAAATATCATGTGGAATTCGCAGTAAAATTAAATATACTTTTTTGTGATAATTTTACACATTTAAATAGTTTCGCATGCTTATTTTATTAACTTGTTATACAGACTATCGAAAGTTGCTACTGTTAATGTAATTGTTATTCTTAAAAATATAAATACAATTTTTTTTACGTCTTTAGTTTTATGATGGCTTTGATCGATTATGATGATGACGATGATAACAATTAAGGAAATCTTAATAGTTTTTATGCAAAAATACATCTCAAACAGAAACCTAATTGAGCTGTTTAGACCTCTTCTTACTGGACAACTAAGGTAGACTTGTACGTGTCCCCTTTTGTTTGAAATATAAACCAAAGATCTAAGAACCGCGCACATTATCCTGTTAATTATTTGTACATATAATTCCAAGAATTGGGAATTAAGGCTTTTGTCCAAATCGAAGACCAATACATTCTAATGGCTGCAACTACTGTACCCTAGAACTATCAAACTGCTGCTTCTACTAATAATAATTACAGTTATGATGGACTTTACAGGGACAAAGTGTTTTTTTCTGACACGAATCACATCTGACTGCAAAGTGTGGTTGCACAAATAGCCTACACAGCAGCAGTTAGCTTGAACTCCATGACACTTTGATTTCAGTAAACATGGGCTTCACTGCTATAGGTTACTGCATTTCATCGAAAGCTATGAGGGGTAAGCACAAAAACGTTTAGCAGAGAGGGGCAGGGAATGGGATAGAGAGAGAACAATTCTTTTCCTGTTCTGGCATGTGCCATTACTCTTCTTCTGGTACCATATACAAGAAGTCTGTGTATCCTCCTGTCATGTTCACATTGAAAAATACTTCTGAGAAAGTAACACAAGGGTTATTTTCATTGTAATAAGCTTGCTTGCCGGTTGTCCAACTTTAATTTTAGCGACCATAAAATATACATTTTCACCAACCCTTATGTTTGTTTGTGAATCGCTTGTTAATAAGTAATTGGTAGTACTTAAAGGAAAGAAATCACATTGGTTAGAGACCGGAACATTTGTTTGGGTTGTTGCAGAAAATATACAGTGCCAAAAGTTCTTAGGGAGAGCAGGAGAGTGTCCCTTATACAGTATATGTATCCTGAGAACCATCTTTTTTCTAAAAAATAAAAGAAGATAACAAAAACAAGCCTCCACAAAAGTGAATTTGTTTAAATATTCATTCCTGATGGGGTATCTGAGGTCATGTACAGTATACAGTAAGTAAGCATGTCTGTGCTTGACCGACCTGCAGACAGCCTGACCCACTTTATCCTCATTGATCTTCAAAGTTCATTGCTTTTCCACTCCCTGACAACTGCCATCCAACCCCTCCCCTACCCACCACAGTCCCCTGTTCAAGTGGGTTAAGATGATTGAAAGCAGTCATCCATGATAAAACAACAAGGAGGATTCAAGATCAGGTTCAAGATTAGGTTAAACCCCCTACTAACATTTTTCTGACTTATTCCATGTCCTTACAGGTTCCAACACAAATGCAAAGTGTAGTGCATTATCTTTTAATGTATACTTAAGTTAATTTGAGTTTTTTTTCCTTAACAAGAGGTAGGAGCCATACCACAAAACACTGATATTCATGATTTTCTTCTTGGCTTTCAGTGTGTGTAAACCCAAATTCCTTTTTCAGAGCATAGCGCATATCGGTTAAAACGTCACAGAAATCACCGGGCTGTTAAATCAGCTTACCCTGATTGATAAATTGATCCTGATTTGTTTTTTCTATTTTTTTTCTCTTTTCATAAACCTGAATGATGGAAACTGGTAAACCAGTCATTATATGGAGGTCTTTATTTTAAGTATATTATAATGCATAATTAAAAAGAATAGAAAACCTAAGATGATCCTGAGTCATGTTTATTTAAAAACATACATTTGGTGGCTCTTTCATTGCCTAGTCTGGAAATGCTAACATGATTGGGAACTTCAATTTCTGTTTAATAATACAATTAACCCTTAGATGGATTTTCAGTTCCATGAAATCACATTCGTGTTCACTCTTTGCCTTTATGTTTGGTTGTGTCCCAGCCGTTGCGTTTATCCCCTGATAAATTCTGTCTTTGCTATCAACATGATCCTGTCACATGACCTACTTATTTTCCTGATCCAATGCCCTGTGGTCATGCAGGCTTATGTTACATAGAATCTTGCGTGTATAAATATTTTAATGAATAACTGGCTGGGCTCTGATCTTGAGCGTGTTGGGAGCCCGTGAAATCTACCTTCATAAACGCTTCTGCCCGTGAGCAGATTCAGAGCCTGTCACTGAGTTCTCAGTCAGCAAATTCAGGATCCGGCGCTGTTTCTTAAGCCTCAGGCAAACACAAGCTAGCCAGTGCACAGGTCTCCTTGTCAGATTGGCCTGTAGAATACCTTACTTTGCATTCTCCCACAGGGGAATCCATTTAACTGTTCAATCAAAGAACACAATTGTGTGTTTCCCTGTTTTCTGTGGACGTACAGTACTTAATCTAACTCCCCAGTCAGGTCGAGCTCAGTGGCTGATTTGCTCTTATCAACCCTGATAAGGACTTGTGGAATTCACAGATTTCCTATGGCTGAGCCGATGCCCATCTGTGCCAGTGGGCACGTTTGGCAGCTTGCCCTCAATGCAGTGGCTCACTTACATCTTTTAACTTTAAGACCTACTGTATCACTTCACCCCTCCAGACGGGCAGCTGTGGCCAGTCAGACAGGTGGACCCTCACCTTTGGTTGCGGGCGGGTGATCCTTCTGAATTTTAACTTGGTTTGGTTTCCTTCATACTGTAAGTAAGACAATCAAAAAGTAATTTGACAAACAAGGCAGTGATGAGTGTTGTTGCAAAGTAAGGACATCTTTCCTGTAGCTTCCTGACTCGGCAGAGTGAAATGGTCTGATACTGTACTGTAATTTTAAAATACAGATCAGAAAATGGTGTGTTGCCTTTCTGATTTTTGTCTCATCCTATGTCTTTAGCCATCTCGACCAGATGCCATTGTGCATAGGTTACAACAGGCTGACACCAACCGACTGGTTACCAACAAAGCCTACCAACAGGTATGTAGTAGTTCAGGTGGGTGGCTGTGTCAGCATGCGTAGGCTGCAAAGGAACAAGTAATACATTTATTCCATGCTGAAAAGAGAAGAAAGAAAACACAACGTTTTGGTCGTGGAGCCTTCTTCAGGTGTGTTCACTGAGAGAAACTTGAACTACTTATTTACCAATGAAGGAGAACTGTTTATTTAAAGGTATTCTAGGTCTCTGTAAACAGCAGCTCCTTAAGAGGTGCTGAAGTTGGGAAATGTGTCCAATTAAGTCAATTAAAAGCTGTTTTAGGTCACTAAGAGCAAGATTGGAATACAAACCTACAGATCTACCAACCCTCCAGGACCAGACTTCTTCCAGCAGCTCTAATTCATTTAAAGCCATCTTTGATGTTTAATTAATGTCTCAAGAATCCCATCAGTTCATCAACGTAAACAAAGAAATGCAGAGTGTTCATTACTAACTGAATTGAACAGAGCAAATTAAAAAAACAGAACAGAGGATATAGAAGGCTGATGGAGACCTGCTATTAATCAAATGAAAATCTGCTTTCTTAAGTGTGTGCCGTTTTTTTTATACTGTTTGTGATTTTGTTCTCAGCTTTCTTCTGTAACCCTTGTAGAAAGGCCAAAAACGTGTGTCAGATTTAATTGGACTGTTATCTTTCCGTGGTACTGTAGAGGTTTACGAAAGCAACAGAATGTTTGAAAATGCATTGAACAAGCCTTCACTTAAAAAAAAACAAGCTCATTGTGATCTAATTTCTTTTTACTATTTTAAATCAAGGGAGAATGATGTATAGATTGAACAGTGCTATGTAATTTGTACCCTTAAGATGTGATGAAGCAAAAATGATTCTTTCATATATTTTTTTAAGTAAAAAGACAAAAGACATCTTTTCTGGAACCTTTACTTTTTTCATTTGAGTTTTTTAGTTACTTTTTTGATGACCTGCCTTCAGCTACAGCTCAGCTAGATACAGCAGAGGAGCAGTAGTCCAATGGTGAATCACATATTGCACTCTAGGCACAGGAATCTGTTAAGCGGGTTGTTAAGCTCACAGGCCTGAAAACATTGCTCAGGTTAAGCTCTCCCACGTCGTGCGGACTGACAGTCTGTCACAGACCAAGCTCTCCTCACATTGTTCCATTTTCAAGCACGCTAATCCAGGTAATTCCATCTACCCTGGAGGGGTCTGGTTCTGGGCCTTTTATTGATAGCTGGTGCAGAGGACAAGTACGGTTTATCATATCTGTCCCTCTTTTGCTTCCCCACCTCTAGAAGTTCAGTTCCAATGTGGGCACCCTGCCCCAGCTGGAGGTCCCCATCAAGCAAATGGTGGTGACAAACGCCAAGCCCCATCACCAGCACGAAAGCATTCTCCCACACATTGTCAACAAGGGCCTACCGAATGGGTATCCAGCTCACCAGGTGAGGCCAAAAGGCCAAGTGCTGAGGATGTACAGTATGTGGAGTGCAACCTAATGAGTGTGTGAATGTGTGGACAGGTTTTATTTAGTTTATTTATTTATTTGGGCTAGAGCCTCACTTACTGTATGACCTGGGTGGCTTGCCAAATCACTGCTAAATTTCTATTAAAGACACCGCTCTTCTCCTTTGATTTTAAAATGCTCTGATGTACATTTGATTTTTGAAGCAATGCCTTTGGGTATTCATTGATGTATACAAAATAAAAACACCCAAATACATGACTCTAAAGCAAAAACAAAATGTTAAAAAATTGGGGGCAGATTAATCTGTAACAAGAGCTCTGCACAATTCCACAATCTGGTTCCTCCTAGAGTAGATATACATTATCTCTTCTCACAGTGGAACAGGTAAAGGTTTATTCCGTGCTGAAAAGAAAAGAAAAGAAAAGAGACACAACGTTTCGACTGTGCAGCTTTCTTCAGGTGTGAATTGAATGTTTTTTTTTTGTCAGAATGAGTAATCTGCTGTTTGAGGGAGAAAAAGCATCGGTTTCTTTGAAAATTGTTGAAGAAGTCTCTGAGTGTTACCCTGGGTGATGTCCGAGTCAAAGGAAAAGGTGTTAAATTGCAAACGAAAGCCTTTAGGAATTATATTATAACAACGACATCTGTAAAGGAGTAGGAGGTGGTTAGAAAGCCTGGTCTTGCAACAGATCTCTGTGAAGAGACGAAATGCTGGTTTAGTAAGAGAAGGGGGCAAGTAGCCCAGAAAGGAGGAGAAGGAATGACGAAGAGATCTAGAAAAAGATTTAGCGGAAGGCATAGTGGGTTGCAGCAGAAATAGGTGAAGAAGTTCAAGTAGGGAGCTGCGTCAGCATGCGTAGGCTGCAAAGGAACAGGTGAAGGCTTATTCCATGCTGAAAGGAAAAGAAAAGAGACACAATGTTTTGGTTTTTGGAGCCTTCTTCAGGCGTGGACCTCCAGTACTTGAACCTCTTCTCACAATATCTAGCATGACAGCCAAGAGCAATGAAGGAGAAATGTAAACCTTAAGCTTTTTCGCTTTTTTGTCATTTTTATACTTTATGAGGTTCCTGCAATTTCCCTCACGGGATTAATAAAGTATCTATCTACAAAGCAGACAGGCCATCACACGCTGCAAATTTAAGATTTTTTTCTTTTTTATTTTAAGAGCTTTTCTACAATGGCTTTCTACCCTTTTTAGAAAAAGCTGGAATTTTTCAAACCGTTTTGAAAATGCACTGCATCAGCTGCCAGTGGTTTGTGTCGAACAATTTCCTGAAAGGGTAAACGTCAGAGGAGATTCAGAATGCTCCTGATATTTCAATTATTCTACTGTAACTTTTTCTTACACTCTGTTTGGAGGTCACTTGAAATTTTAAGTAATCAGGTATTGATTTATTGTTTTGAAATCTATTATTTTCAGTATTATAAACCGTTTTTAAACTTCCAACAAGTTTTACAAATTCATTTCTTAATTCAACAAGCATGTTGTATGCACTCTCCTAATGTTGCAGTGTAAGAAAATAAAAGTGAAGGGATTTTAGCAATTTTGGCCCATTCTTCCTAACAGAACTGCTCCAAATTGATGTCATTTTTGGGTTTCCTTGCTTGACAGGTCACACCTGCTTCTGACATAACATTTCCGTGGAGCTTAGATCCACACTTTGACTTTGCCTATTCAAAATGCAAATGTTGTGAGATCTGCTTGATGTTTAGGATTATTGTCTTGCTTCATATCCCATTTTTGGCTCAGATTGAGCTGATCAATGGAGGTCCTGACATTCTTTTCTAGAATGTTCTAGTACATGGTTCAATGATGGTAAACCATCTGGATCCCGAGGCAGTCAAGAAGTCCCAGATCAAGTTCTCCTGTTCTTCAGCTGGAAGGCAGTGTTTGATATTCGCCGCACAAAATGTTTGTCATTGTGGCTGAAAAGTCCAGCTTTTGAATCATCTCTCCAGAGATCATTCTTCCAGTGGTCTTGGAATGTCCAGGCGCTCTTTGTCAAACTTGAGAGGGGAAATATTTTTTTTCTTTTTAGAGAGCAATTGTCAAGCACAGTTCTTTGTGGGCCCTATGCAGACGATACAATCCGGAAGGGAGTGAGGAAACGCTAGGAAAAAGTCATGCAGGAGAGGGTATGGGTATGGGTGTGTCCAAGGGGTGCAGGTGTCCAGGGGTAGTGATTCCAGGGCCAACAATCCATGAAGAAGTCCAAACGGGTAATTCAAGACAGAAGCTAAAGTCCATGGCCAGGCGATCCATCTGGGGAATAAAACACGGGAACCGGGTAGGAACCGGCGGGAGGGGATCAGGAACAGAAAGTTAAAATCATAACGGAGCCAGACGCACCAGGACCCGGGCTCTCACGAAACGGGATTCAATGAAGAGCCTCGAGTGACGTCTGCGTCTGGCTTTTAAGGTGGAACTGAAGAGGGGCTGAAATAAGAAACAGGTGCGGGTAATGGGACAGAACGAGGAAGGGCTGGAGCGCCCTTAAGAGGAGTGATTGTGACAGCAATAGTTTCTTCCTGGCTATCCTCCCAGGAAAGAAGTTCCCGCTCAGTCTTTTCCTGATGGTTGAGGCAATAAAACGGACATAAAAAAGCCACAGCTAGAGAGGGCTGCGGATCCTTAAGCAAAAACTGTTCTTTCTTTCTGCTTCATACACCATTTCATCTAAAAAAGACAATGAATAGTTAAATATAAATCTTTTTGGTTAATTAAAAAAAATACCATTTTCAATGAAACACAGATATCAAGTAAGCAGATCTCTTTCTGTTGTTGCGACAGGCCAAGTTTCAAGTTATCTTTTAGCAAAGTTACTCCATCACAGCAATACTTATTTGTCTTTAGAGTAGTGGACTGAAAGGAAGACACATCTGTACCACCAATTTCTTTTTTCTTTCTCAGTGTTTTGTAAGAGACATTAATCTAAAGCTCATAGAATGTTTAGCGTACTTGGACTTGAATATGGCCTCTTTTGCTTGGGGAATGTTTCCACAGAGACTGTCAGTCCAGGGTTGAAAATAGTGTAATGACTGTCCTGTTGATTGGCAGGAGGAGAGACACAAGGGCTTGCAGTACCCGACAAGATTTAGCTCCGTGGAGAGTCTCTCAGACTCCACGAGCAAGAGCCATTCTAACAAGCAGGAGAAGGAGAGGACACTGGAAGGACAAAAGCTACCTCTCACACCAGCAGGTAAGGAGGGGGCATCTATTATAGTTCTGGTTAATGATTGATTATTAACAACCTTCACAGTATGGAGTTAGCAGAACAGCTTAATCATCTTTGAGAGCACTCCTGTTTAACTTCCATTTATATTGTCTGGAAATCCAGACTGACAGAAGAAAGAGAAAGAAAAAGAAAAATTGCTAGGTAATATTTTTTGCTTTGCTTGAGAGTTTGAGTGTCCTCACAGAAGGGGAAGAAGCACTTGAGCAGAGAGAATTGTTGTTCTCAGATCCATGCAGTGTCCCCCAAATTAATTTTGTCCTGAAGAAAAGGCTTTTTGGTTCCTACTACCCTTTTGTGAGTGGTTCTGTGAAAATGGTCTGCAAAGAATTTTTAATTCACTGTGAGGCAAGTGAATTTTCCGCGAGAGCTTGGCTGACACAGACCAAACAAGTGTCATTCTGTGGTTCAGGCCAGACACACCTACAGGCAATGGCCTACAGTACAATTTTCCTTGTGGCTTTTTTCACCATTATTTTGTTGAAAGGGGAAACAGGAAAATTTAAAAGCAAAATGTAAGCCAGTAAGGACCCTGTAAAATAACCTTTTGATTTTTTTGTTCCTAAAAGTAAAAAAAGATGGTACCTGACAATGTTAATATATATATTTATATTTAAAAGTCAAAACATTATTATGTAGTATAGGAATTTTTAAAGATCACAACACAGTTTAACATTTGGAGACAAAAAAACTGAAAAAAGGGAAAAACTGCAAAACTGAAACAAGAAAGACAACATGGTGTTTTTGTTGTCTCTTTTCTTATTGAGATATACAGTGACTCAAAAATCATAAAACAAATTTGTAGGCCAGATGTCTTGTTGCATTACAAGGCTGTAGCCAGCTGGGAGACTTGAGGGCACCCTGTTCTTGTTTTAGAGGCGCTAAAGCACTTCCAGGACCGTCTGACAGAGTATGAACAGGAGGAGATAATGGACTATTCGGAGCTGTGGTACCTGGGACTGGACTCCAAGAAGATCGAAGGGAGCCATGGAACGCAGCAGAACTATGGCTATGACGACGAGCAGGGCAGCTACATCAAGGTAGGCCAGATGTCATGCTGCGTTCTTTCAGGACCCTATGCAGACAACACAATCCGGGGGGATGAAGAAAACATGGGGAAAAAGGCATGCTAGGGGCTGGAAGGAAAACAGGGGGCGTGTCCACGGTGCGCTGGTGTTCAAGGGAGGTGAGGCCGAGGCAAACAGTCCAAGGGAGTCCGAGGCAAATCCATGAATGTAGCATTAGTCCAAGACCGGGTGATCCCTCCTGACGAAGATGAACAAAGTTAAAACCCGGAGCGGGATCCGGCGGAGGGTCGGGGGAATCGAAGGGGGGTAACGGGACCAGACGCTCCCTGATCCCGGACCCAGATGGTCAGGACGGCGTTGTGAAGTTAAGTATAAAACAAGGAAGGGCTGGAGCGTCCTTAAGAGGAGGGGTTTACGATCGTGACACCGGAAGCTGCATCCCTAAGAGGGAGATGGATGGGAAAAGGTTCTTGAAGATGGAGGAAAGCTCTTGCTTAATTGTTACACAACCATAAGTAACTCAGACCACTGTCTTGTACCATTTGGGTGTCCTCACATCTGGTTTTTACAGTCTCACATTTGAGTCTGTCACACCAAAGTTATTTTTTTCTGTTTTTGAGATGTTTAAATTGTTGAACCCTGGAATAAGGTTCCCTCACTTGTCAAGCCCAGTTCCCAGAGCAACAGGGTTTGTTTTTCATTCCATCTCTTCATTAACATAATTGGTCTTACTGGCTCACCTGGGCAAATTTTGTATTATTTCAGACTGTTGAAATGGATTATTTAAACATACAGGGACTATAAGAAGGATTAGTAGCATTATATTACTATCCACAATTATCACTAGCCGCTCAATAATTTGAGGATTTCATCCAGCTATTTCTTGAATCAGCTTTGACAACCATATGAGTAGCTTGTCCCAGACTACCTTTGTGAGGAACTGCCTTCTGTTCTCCAGAATTCACAACCTTTGCAACTGTAGTATTGTTTGAGTTCTCAGTTCGCTCTACGATATATCTGCCACATGTGAAGTCGATTTTATTTTTTAAGAATCTGGATCTTGACTCTTCTGGTTTCAGGTTCTCCATGACCACATTGCTTATCGCTTTGAGGTGCTTGAGGTAATCGGAAAAGGCTCGTTTGGACAGGTCCTAAAGTGCCTGGATCACAAAACAAAGGAGCTAGTGGCTGTCAAAATAATTCGCAACAAAAAGAGGTAACACAACCTGTTAATAGTAATAACACTTTGCTCCAGTTATCTATGGTATAGGATTCAGGTTTTGCCCAGTAGCTTTCTGGGTATTGTAAATGTAAATTGAAAACATGAATACCAATTAGAGGATTCTTAAGCATCTCTCCTAATAAAAGCCTCTGTTGTTAATAGGGGCTGTATTTGTTTTCCAGCCAACACAAACATTTGTTTGCAGTGGAGGATCACAGACTGAGAACAAGCAGATTGACTTTTTGTTTGCCTTGTCTTTGAGGATGAATGTGCACTTCAGACTGATACAGTGAACGCAATGATGAGTTGTGTAACATGGCACTATTTCAAATGGAGGGGTATGCAAGAAAAACAAAGGAATTGGCTATTTCAATATTCTGACGTAAGAAGCATAAGGACTTAGTCAAAATGGACGTACTTCTGAATCATACTTAAACCAAAGACTCAGTTAAATTGAGTTATTTATATGTTTCCTGACATTAGTTATATCATATCAACCAGTTAAATTGAGTTATTTATATGTTCCCTGACATTAGTTATATCATATCAACCACTTTTCCAAGATAAAATCATGCATAAGTCTTCACTTTTCTCACGGCAAAGAATACAGCCATTGTGATCATGCAAGATTCATCTGTATCAGGTTGCCTAATTCTTGCAGCTGATAAGGCTCTCTCTGTCATTTTCTCATCCTCTAACAGTGATGCTCTCCATCTTAATGCCAATCAATAATGCAGAGCACAAAACAAGTAGTTTCATCGACGTCAGAGTTACATCAGACAGGGGAGCTGTGTGTGGGTTTTTGTCATTCTGTTAATGATTCTGCTGGAGGCTTGAAAGCATATTTTCAATTGGATGAGTCTCATTGTTTTTTTTGCCAGTATTATATTGCTGTCTGGAACATGAGAGAAGTGTCATTGTGTTGTAGAAGAACAAAAATAGTACTTGCAAAAAAACAGACCTGATATTAATTGTCTTCCCTCTTCCAGTTGATTCATATTCACAAGCAACACTCCCACTATTTCCCTGTTCAGAAAACTCTCTCTAGTCAAATGTGTTGTTGTTCAGAGGTGTGAAATGAATGTGTCATTTGTGCTTTTCTTCACATTATCACAATTCCTACCTCACACTTGCTCCCTGACCACGCAGTTAAGAGCTGAAGTGATTGTACTGACATGCCTTGAAGAGATACCCTTGACTGTGGTTCTCAAAAGCCAGTTGCATATGCACATACCCTTCAACACTGTGGACTAGCACACAGTGTTTGTCAAAGGTGATACAGAGTACAGAGAAACTGTGTTGCTGGTGGTCTGCTCATAGTGAATGCGCATTTAGAGTCACATTGTTGTTTTTCCAATACAGATTTCATCATCAAGCCTTGGTAGAGTTGAAAATCCTAGATGCTCTGAGAAGGAAAGACAAAGAGAACAGCCACAATGTCATCCACATGAAGGAATACTTCTACTTCCGCAATCACCTCTGCATCTCCTTTGAGCTTTTAGGGTAAGCACTGTTCAAATAAAGGGGCCCACTGCACAGTGTTTCTATCCCTTGGAATGTGCATGTGTTTGCTGCATATGTATTGATGGATCAAAACAATAAGAGATGATCACGAAAAGCAGGTAGCATTTAATCTCTTCATAAATTAGTTGCTATAAGGTTACAGCACTCCAGTTTTAAAATACAAGGTTTCTATATATCACATTCATGCATGTTGATTTTTCTTCCTGCAACACATAGGCAGTGCAGCAGTAGCTGCTGGTATCTAAGAGTGCATCATACTTTATGCAATTTAAATTGATTGACGTCAAGGCTCTTGTTATTTTATTTTTGCAAAGAAGACGCACTGGTCTTATCATGCTCTTTAAAAGTTGCTTTTTTTATATATCATGCTAAATCAAGGATAAGACATAGAGCTATACGTAATACATGCAGATTCTCACCTTATGAATGTTTGATATCTGAAGTCACACAGGAATCAGTCCATTAGTCATCCTGGTTTTGCTGTGACATTGACAGGGACAGCGCGAAAAGGCAGTAGTGGGTGATAGCACGCAGTGTATGACTGACATGAAGAACTGATGTCAGTGAGAGTGTTTTTACTTGGGCCTGAAGGTTCAGGTTTTCCTTATCCTGAGATCTCATCAGCTTTAAAAACAAAGTAAACAGGCAACATCTAGCAGCAGGACCAACCTTTATGAGACGGCTAATATTGTGATGATGTATTGTGTTACAGAAACTGAATACTTTAGTTAATGCCTTAATTAGGTCCCTGTCTCTACCTGTTGCTACCATGAAGGTTCCAGTTACAGCACAGAAAGAAGTAAAGGATATGAATTCAACCTGTCTGTTGCTAATGCTGAACAAATGTGTGGGATGATTACGTTGTGGTGGTGATGTAGAGGTCGTGTGTCTTTCTTGGCATCTGATCCAGGGGTGTAGCCCTGTCTTGTGCACTAACCCTTACCAGAAAAATGCAGCTTTCTGAACTGATGTTAATGCATTTCTTGGATGTAATTATGTACAGTAATTGATTATATCAAAAGATACAATATTATGGTTATAAGCCATGGAACAATATTCTTTCACTTGAGAATTAAAAGCCCAGTGTGCATGTTTATAGTGCTGTAATAATGTACACATTTCCATTTTTACTAAGATTATATCATCTATAACTTGCTGCTGTTTTCACGTAGGAGTGCTTGCTAAAAATAAAACTAATGAGATGTTATAAAGTAGAATTTTGGTCCCTCTTTAAAAAGACATATTCCGAGTATGCACTGTTAGGGCTATAAACAATCGGACTCTAAGAAAAATTATCCTAGAGCAATTTTAATTTTAGTCTTCTTATTGTGCACTAAAATAAATTTATAACAGCACATGATCAGTGTGATCAAAAACAGATGTAAAGACCTAATCTGTAGTGCTGTAGAGAACATTATTATTAGAATAATTACAATTTGAATTCGAATTGAAATTCTGATGTGGGCTGAATTGAATGCAGTATGGTATGCATGGCCAGAAAAAAGCCAAATTTGAATTATTACCATCTCACTACGTGACACCATTTTTTACAACGCACAGCTTTTAAAAATGCTTTAGCAAATTCACCAACCTTGTCAGCAAAAGTGGACAGTGATAGAGTGAACTTTCAGAAGCAAGATGATTTAACAGTGGAACAGCTGGGACTCAGCAATTGAGAGTTTTAAAATGAATTCCAGTAACATCTAGGTGTGGATGGAACGAGAGGTTGAAAATATCCATCTTTTACTGAGCTGACATTTAGCCATTATAAACGCTGTCAGTACAGTATGGGTATGAGACAGGCATTGGTTACATTCAAGTTCACAGCTTTAAATGCTGTAACACATCAATTTCCCTACAGGATTAATAAAGTCTTATCTATCTAAATGAGAGCAAGCTTGGCTGGGAATGTTATTGAATTTTTGTTGCCCTCTGGTGGCTTGGTTTTGTGTTGCATTATGAGGCAAATATTGTAAATACGTTTTTTTCATATCAAGTTATAAATTTTATGATATTGCACAATATACATGCTTTCATTCATTAAGCAAAACTTACAAAATACTGCATGTTTATGTTTGACGGATATCAGCACCACATGTAACATTGACTCACTTTTATAATTGGTTTTGAACTTCACCCTGAAACTCTGATGTCTCCGCAGGTTGAATTTGTATGAGCTCATTAAGAAAAACAGCTTTCAAGGATTCAGCTTGGCTCTGATTCGACGCTTTGCCTATGCATTACTGAAATGCTTGCAAATGCTCCATCGAGAGAAGATCATCCACTGTGATCTGAAACCCGTAAGCAATACTTTACTGCTGTGCTCATGTTGGTCCTGTGTACCTGTGTACAGTAATATTAATTTATTTATATGTCTATTTGACAATCCTTGGTTTTCAGTATGTTAACAAACAGAAGCATGTTCTCAAACAAAAAATGCAATTGTTTGTTATGCTTTTATGGCAGTTTCTTAAATTGTGATGTCATATAATAATAATAATAATAATAATAATAATAATAATAATAATAAATAATAATTAATAATAATAATTGATTACACTTACGTAGCGCTTTTCTAGACACTCCACTTAAAGCGCTTTACAGGTAATGGGGACTCCCCTCCACCAATCACCAATGTGCAGCCCCACCTGGATGATGCGACGGCAGCCATTGTGCGCCAGAACGCTCACCACATATCAGCTATCAGTGGGGAGGAGAGCAGAGTAATGAAGCCAATTCATAGAGGGGGATTATTAGGAGGCCATGATTGGTCAGGGCCAATGGGAAATCTTTATTAAAATTTACATTTAAAATTTACTTATATCTTTATAAATAAATTGGCAGAACAGCAGCGCAGAGGTTAGAATTGCCAGCTCACAGCTTTTGGGTCCTGAGTTCAGTTCTGGAGGTTGTACGTTCTCCTCATCTTTCTGTGGGTTGCCAGTTGTGAGTTGCAGGGTGATATGGCTCCTGCAGAATAAATTATTCTCTTCCCTACTCCTCTTGCAAGGCAAAAAGTCATACTGTATTGTCCTGCCCATACTTCTTTCAATGGTTATGAATGAAGTATGAATGGTTATGAATGGCTATGAATTTCTCTAAGATGAATGGACATGGCAGTACCAGCGTGGTCACAATCTCCGCAGGGAACAATGCTGTCATGTTCAGTTTGGTCTTGCCGGCCTCCAGAGTTCTGCGTGGATAATTTTATGAGCCACCTTTGCACTGAATCCCAGGCCCCACAGGGTTGCCAGCTGTTATAGCTATAGTTATAGATTTAACTTTCTGTAATTCTGACTAGAAGATGATACACAACTGTGCTTGTGTATGTATGTATACAAGGCTGCACTGATCATACCTAGTGCCAGATTTCCTATTAGGCACTGTAGGCACAGTGCTTAGGGCCTACAAAGTTTTCTAGGGCCTATGAAGGAGGGAAACACTACGAAACGAAAAGGGAGCTGAAACAACCTACTTGCGAACAACTGTAGGTGCTCCAAATCGATAATTATACGCCATCTAGTGGCCGTTCTAGAAACTAGGAAGTATCGAAGTGATGGTCGCTCGACTCGCTCCATCAATCACGTGGTTTAGCATTAGAATAGTTTAAAGTGCCTCATGTCAATCGGCGGAATTCAATTGCCGTTTACCCCTCTTTTTGCACGTGTCGGAGTGAAAGTGCCTAGGGCGTACGGACACCGTCCCTGTAGTGAAGACCTATCAAGACTCAAAGGCGTGCAGGAGAAAAAAGACAGCAGTTCTTTACTGTCTTTCACAGTAGTGCTGGTTATAAAACCTATGTGTTTTTTTTTCTTTTTAAAAGGAGAATATTCTGTTGTCCCAGAAAGGACAAGGGAATATAAAAGTGGTTGACTTTGGATCAAGCTGCTATGAACAGCAAAGAGGTGAGCAGTTGTTTGTTTTTACCTTTGTCAGCACAGCAGACAATAATTGCTTTTCATTCAATGGGATTAGAAAACACCTTACTCCCAGGGGTGCAACCCTATCATCCCCCAAGGAAGCACAGCACCCAGCAGAGTGACACACAGCAGACATTATGCCTGAGTAGCCCCACAGCACAATATCTACTGGTCCACCAACATCTCTTACAGCAGCAACATGGGCGTCCTTAGAGGTTTCTCATCCCAGTACTGACCAGGCCCAGTCTTGCTCAGCTAGTTCCGACGTTTGCAATCAGAATGCCAACGTGAAGAAGCTTGTATTTGCATTCAGAAAAATCACCAAAGGGTCAGGGTTACGACCTTAACAATACATCTAGGGTTTGACCAAAACCCGCAACGTAAAAAGAACAGTCGATAGATCGGATTCCCCTGGGAAGACAAATTAATTCAACTCA